AATGCACCAATTGTGTGAATTCACTAAAGGAGAGGGTTTTTCTGAGGGTTTTGATGCACACCTCAATATTGAACAGATGAACAAAACATCGGTTGAGTTGTTCCAAATGTATGATGATCACAGGAAGAAAGGAATTAATGTGCCATCAGAAAAAGAATTTCGAGGCTATTATGCACTTCTCAAACTTGACAGGCATCCTGGGTACAAAGTAAGTCATAAGCAATGTAATGTGAATGTATAACTTCCTTTCAAACATATTCTACTTGAGAAAAAGTTATCTTTGTTAGGTTGAACCCGCTGAGCTCTCTCTGGATCTTGCGAAGATGACTCCAGAGATAAGACAGACTCCAGAAGTGCTTTTTGCCCGTGATGTAGCAAGGTTGCTTCTTCTCCTAAAAGTTTACTTGCGGTAAATAGTGTTGAACTGGAACTGATAATTCAAATAATCTGTACCTACAGAGCTTGCAGAACCATGAATTTTATTGGCTTCTTTCGGCTTGCAAGGAAAGCAAGTTATCTTCAAGCTTGCTTAATGCATGCTCATTTTGCAAAGGTATGATGTTTATTGTTTGGCTCTTAGGACAGGGAAATGCATGAACAGCTTTGGTCTGTTTGATTCACAGAGCATTGACCTTCCTAATGTGTTAGTAAGCCATTGGTTATAAGATAGTTGGTTACATTAATTAGGTGATTCTAGTCAGAAATAAGGCAAAATTTTGGTATAACTTGTTACCTTTCCTAATCATTTAACCTATAGGAAGGCGCATGCAATTATCTACAGGTTTTGAAAATAAAATAATGGTATTTGTATTCAAATATAGAATAATTTGCATGCTTGTTGCTTAGTTCTTTGGGCTGCACTCTATGTGAGCTATATCTTTATGTAAATAGAAGGTCATGCCCTAATATGCTTTTTAATATTTTAAATAAGGAGTGAAATATTTAAATTGTTTCTATAATATTTTCTTCAATAGAAAAGAAGACATTATCAAGACTATTAAGAAACAGGACAATATACTGCCCGCCAAATGAAAGAAAACAAAACAAAGAATGAGGAGAATGAGGCCAAAAAAACAAATAAAATAGCCTCCAAATTCTTGTGGAAAGTGCTTGGGATGGTATCCTTGCTGTCGAGAGCAAGGAGAATCTTATTGCCCTAATTCTTTCTTCCATTTTTTGGACAATTTAAAAAGAAAGGAGTGTAAGAGTTTTTTCCACATAAGTTTGTTTTGTGTTTTATAATAGTCAAATCCATTATTCTTTTACTCAGAAATTGGTAGGAATGCCATCTCACTTGTTCCCTTTTTTACCAGTTACGAACACAAGCACTTGCTTCTCTGCACTCTGGTCTACAGAATAACCAAGGTGTCCCTGTTGCTCATGTGGCCAAGTGGCTGGGGATGGAGGTGCTTTTCTTGTCTTAAATATCAATTTCATTTCCCTCCCTTTTTTTTAGCAACTTGTATTTCTTACAATTTTCCATTGGCGAATGAAACTAGGAAGAGGACATAGAAAGCCTTTTAGAGTACCATGGATTCCTTATCAAGGAATTCGAAGAGCCATATATGGTGAAGGATGGCCCATTTCTTAATGTTGATAAGGATTATCCTACGAAGTGTTCAGTTCTTGTTCACTCCAAGAAGTCAAGAACAATAGTTGAAGATGTGTCATGTTCTTCTCCCATAGTAGCCTTGCCTACAGAAGCAACGAAAGAGATTCAGCTCAGTGCAATCTGGAAAAATGATTCAGAAGTCATCCCTTCTGATGAAAAGGAGAGTTTATTCCAGGAGGTTGATGAAGAAATGCCAGATTTTGAAATTCTTTCATCACCCAAAAAAGGTGCACTGATGCAGCCATTGATAGAAAAATCAATAATAGATCGGCGGAGCCAAGATTACCATCAGCTGGCTGATACATCCGTTTCCCCAAGAGGTTTTTCCTTAGTTCATAGCTCCCCTCAATACCGAGCAGTTGAAGTTGGAAGCATGGAAAAATCAAATAATGATGTTCATGTCAGTAGTTTGCCCGAGCAAAATATACTTTCTGGTGCAGGAGCTATGCAATGGCAATTTTTGCCAAGAACATCTTTGGAACAGAGTTCACCAAGAGCTATTCCACTGCAAACTGTGTTAAGAACATCGTTTCTAGGTAGTTCCCCAAGTGGTAAATATGATTATGCTGTTGAAAATTCAGTGCCTCAAAGTGTTGACTTAGAAGATGAAGAACCTTCTAATATTCACCAAGAAAATGAAAATGAGAATGGTAAAGTTATGAGAAATCAAGAAGATGAAAAGGTTCTTGAAGCAAAATTAAAGTTGATTGTAAGGTTGGTGTTTTATTTGACATGCTTCATTTTAGGTTATACTACATTGATCCACCAGATGTCTCACCTTTTTTGCATTACTCTTCAATTAGGTTATGGAGACGGTGGTCTTCCAGGCAAAGGGTGATACGTGAGCAAAGGCAGTTAGCAGGAAGTGCTGCCCTAAATTCATTGTCCGTTGGACCACCAATTCGACTGATAACGGATGTAAATTTTTCTTTTCCCTTTAAATTTTTGTGTCAATTACAGTTTTACTCTCTGTGGTTTGGGTTTATTGCAAAATGGTTTTATATCATGTAATTTGATTTTGTCATTTTATATAAAACCATTGTCTTTTAGACTATTATCTTAAAATTTTTTTCAACCTTCCTTCGATTTTGATTTATTTAATCTTGAACTTTCATATATTTGTAAAGGTCCAGATACATGCAAACGTTCTTTAAGGACTAACAGCTTTACATAAAATGTCAAAAAACAAAACCTCATGTGTCAAAAAAAACCATATGGTATTAACCGAAATAAAGGCAAACAATATGAGGTGAAACTATATTTTTCCCTTAGTGTTTTTATGCATGTGCGTTATGGAAAATCAGTGCTTTTCTTGATGGGTGGCAAAACAAAGAAGTATTATTTGATACAGAAGAAAAATCTTTAGGACTCGTGATGGTAAGCAGCTAATCAGGGGTGCCTGCGTCGAAGTGTAAGAGTCACAGAAGCATCCTTACTATAGTATTCCTCCTTTCCATTTGTTTATCATTATTTTTCCATTAACCTTCTCCTGAGGAATTAACATGGTGATTTTCTTATAGCTGAAAGTGTTTCATTTTCTTCTTCGTGTGAAGTTGATATGTTCATTATGGGGTTTGCCTCATTTACTGAATGTTTCAATTATATCTACCCTTGGCCAGAGGCAGAGAAAAAGCAATATTTTTTACCTGAAAACATTATTTTAAGCTTCATACCTTTTTCTTTTGTAGCAACCAAGCATACTTGGTGAGCTTGACATTGATCATGTCGTGAGGGAGAGATACGGAAAGCATGAACGTTCATGGTCAAGGCTGAATGTTTCAGATGTGACAGCAGATATATTGATCAGAAGAAACCCAGATGCTAAATGTCTATGCTGGAAAGTCATTTTGTGTTCTCAGATGAACAATTCAATGGACAAACGGATGTCTGGAACCCAGGTTTCTGATTTGGCAGCGAGCAGGTGGTTGTTGTCGAAGCTCGTGCCTTCCAGAAAGGATGATGAGAATGGTGATCTTGTAGTTTCTTCACCTGGTGTATCAATATGGAAGAAATGGGTGGCATACCAATCCCCTGATGATCTGGTCTGCTGTTTGTCTGTTGTTAAGGATTCAGATTTTGGCCATGTGAAGGAGACAGTATCAGGTGCAAGTGCAGTTCTATTCCTTGTATCCCAAAGCACCCCATGGAGCACGCAGAAGATCCAACTCAATAACCTTCTGATGTCAATACCATCTGGTTCCTGCCTTCCCCTTCTGATCGTAAGTGGATTATGTAGAGAAGAGGTTATGGATCCTACTTCAACTATTGTTGATGGATTGGGCCTCCATGATATTGACAAGTCACGGGTAGGTAGCTTTCTTGTTGTTTCTCTTGTTGAGAACATGCAAATGCAACATGCTGATGGGTTTTTCAGCGACAAGCGATTACGAGAAGGGCTAGAATGGCTAGCCAGTGAGTCACCCTTGCAACCAGCTGTAACTTGTGTGAAGGTCCGTGAACTTGTGCTGACTCACTTGAGTTTGTCACTAGAGGTGCTTGAGAAGATGAACAGTTCTGAAGTAGGTCCAAATCACTGTATCATGGCCTTCAATGAGGCATTGGGTCGCACACAGGAGAATATTGTTGATGCTGCAAAACTAAATCCTGTCAATTGGCCTTGTCCGGAGGTTAAACTGGTGGAGGATTCTAGAGATGAGCATTTAATGGTGAATTGGCACCTGCCAAGTGTGGGCTGGAGCTATGCAGAAAGGATTGAGCCACTTAATCGTGCACTGGAGAACTGTAAACTTCCTATTTTTCAAGGTGACTTACCATGGTTAGCCAGAGGTTGTCCTACAGGTGAAGAGATTGATAAGCAGAGATCACAACTTGAGAACTCCTTAATTAGATATCTGACACAATCAAGTGAAATGATGCAAGCACCGCTAGCAACAAAGGAGGCACGTGTGATGCTACAAAGAAGCACACGACTCGAGCTCCATAACATAAGCTATTACATTGTTCCCGAGTGGGTTATGATATTCAGAAGATTTTCAATTGGCGGTTAATGAGTTTGTCAAGTGGAGACTTCTCTTCAGCTTATGTTTTAGATTCGTGTCTTGCTGATTCAGCTTCTAGCGATCTAAGCAAGCTAGAGCTTAATAATGGTATTTATTCATCATATTCTTCAAGTCATCCATCTCTAGACGAAGTAATTGAAGTTGGTTGCAGCCCACTCAAGTCCATAAGCAATCCAAGTTATCCAGAACCTTCTATTGGTCCATCACTACCCTCAAATCAAGATTTTCAGGAGGTTTTTCATAGAGGCAACACAACGGAGGACAGAATAAATTTTTTGAAAGATCATAATTTAGCTGTTGAGAACAATATTGTGTGTGTGAATAGTGAATTGAACCGCAGGAATGGTAAAATAGTGGTGAATGGTGAAGTGTCCAAGGAAGCCGAGAACTTAAGTAAGTTGCTGGAGAAGTGTAACATATTGCAAAACTCTATTTCTGAGAAGCTGTCCATTTACTTTTGAGGTTATGATTATAACTATCATAGTGAACTGTTGTATTATATTTTACATGTGTGCTTGAGAAAACAGAGATGGGGTGGGTTTTGTATCAAGTAGTTTTTCGGAGAGGAAAAGTTAAAAACTTATTTTGACCAAGTTACCAGTATCTATCGAGCATTATGCAGATGATATGCAACTAACAGTTTTTATTTATAAAAAGATATATTTTTTAGAATGATACATGCCGACCCATTTATCATATTTATTATTAAAATATTAAAAATGAGTAAAATATGACTTTAAGACGTCAACATAAACATAGTTCAGTAGTTAATAATAAAGGAAAATCCATCTATGAAGTAGAAGTACCAGGAAATCAGTAGATAGATACATGAATATTTTCATAACAAAATCAAACAGGAACAGGCGCAGTAGTACGTCATGGCACTGTACTATCTAATAATTCCAATAATTGGACAGACGCAACACCCGGCACTCCTTCATTGGCTAAGAGTCTGCCTGCCTCCTCTTACCTCTTACCTCTTACCTCTACCTCTACCCAGCAACTGGATAGACACAATGGAAGGAAGCCTGAGGATTGCTGCAAAAAGTCTACAGCATGTGGGTCACTTGGAAACTTCAAAGTTTCTTCCATCAACATAAAAAAATTGGATTTTATACATTATCTATTATATATTATATATACGGATCTGAAATGTACCTAGAAAATATCATTTCTATTATGTTTGATTTTGAAAGTAGTTGAATTTTCAATTTGAAATTTTAGTATTTGAATCTTCAAAATCAATTACCCGACATATAAAATTTACAATGTTAATTAAGACAACTCTGCTAAATGGTATAATCTATTTCAACTGAAAAAAGAAAAAAAAGATGCTGCTACCTCAAAAAAGTATTTAGTCTTTATAACTTCTATAAAAGAAACCCTAATCTCCTATAATAATAGCATCAGCAAACATTGATTGAATTGGATGTACTTGATTCACTGACAACTGTCTAAATAAAAAGTGAATACTACACATAATCATCATCAGACATTAAGGGCACCAACAATATCATTCAAAATTTTTTATTCAGAAACTCTTACAAATATGAAAAACTTAAATTCCATGTCATTTAGTAAAGTTATGTAATCCAAAAATTATTACTAGACATTTTGACACCATCGAAGTCATTCAAAATAACATTTGATAAATCCTCTGAATACTCAAAAGATGCTCTAAAATATTGAACTTTAATTTTTTGCAAATTTAAAATTTTCAATTTGATCTCTAGCAAAGTTACTTTCAGAATGAGCAATCTGAATGATTCAATTTATAAAAAACTTTTGAACCTAGAATTGTGCAAGTCTGAGATCTTCAATTTGATCCCGTTTAGTGAAGTTACTTTTTGATACAATTCAAAATCATAACTGGACATCTTAACAATTTCAAGACAATCAAGAACAACCAGCATTTTACCGCTAACAAAATATGTGGCAGTTAATTTCTTTTTACGGTAAATTCAGGGAAAATGAAAAAAGAATCATTTGGTAAAGTTGCATGAGAAGCACAGATCTATGTGGGTTTTATCAGAGGAAACAGGCTGATAATGCAATTTCATTACCTCTCCAAGATATTATTGGAGATATCATTACAACCAAGGTTCAACATGTTCTTGAACTCTACAGAAATTCATTGATGAAAAATATGCTTCCCAATTTGACATAGAGAAATAATTTTCTACAGTTACATGTCAAGATCATTGGTTCTTGGCTTCCTGACAGAATCTCTTGGAGCCTCTCCAATTTTTTTCCACTCCCCTCCTCTTCGTTTTCGATTAGCAGTTCAAGACTGCCTTGGCATGGAGAGTAGCCTTCTCTAAATGCGTATTCTGTTGTTAGCAGAGTATACTTCCAGTTACGATCCTGAAGAGTATAAATACAAAGACTTGAGTTTCCAAGTAATCTGATCATAATGCAGATTGTCGAACAAGTAGTTGCTTCTCCTTGCTGGAGACACCACTATCCTGCATCCTGATACAGAACAAATGCAGTTGCATCAGTATCTGTTGGAACTCATTAATTGAAGCTCTCAGAGAGGAAAGATTTAAGTCATGTTGTTTCTTTACAACAATTCGGTCCAAATAATTTAGTTTTTTTTTCCACATTTACATAAAATCATTATTTTTTCTAGGCTACTATCCTATAATTTTATCCCCTAACTTTAATTTATTTAGCCTTGCACTGCTAAGTACTCGTGTTTAGAAACTTCATATTTCTCCTAAAACACTTGTCGTTTATGTAAAACGACAAAAAATTGAACTAGGACTGAATTATCACTAAAAATTTTACCAGATTTGAATTGCAACAAAGTCAATATATCAAGGTTAAAACTGTATTTTACCTTAAAGTTGCTTAAAACAAATTTAGAACAAAAAAATAAAGTGCCATGTAATGTGATCCATGCAACTGCCTTTGAGTGCTAAGTCAAAATTACAGGAGTTAGGTGCAAAATAACAAAGGATATGTTCCCTTGGATTATATGACCTACCAACTCCGAATGTATCTGCTGCTTAGGTGGTAGAACAACAATTGCCGAACCTCGATTCCCTGAAAGGCTGTGCTGCAAAGACTGTTGGTTCTCTGAAAAATCACTTCTTACCGAGCGGTAAAGTTCAGATCCAGAGTTAGTGGATGCCTCCGGAGTTCCCTTTCCTTTCCTCCAAATAGCTGATCTCATGGTGATCTGGTTTGTTCCGTCTGGAGCACTGGCATCTAACTAAAGGAATAAAATAAATTTTATAATATCACAAGGAAATCAGCTGATTGAAATAAGGAAAACACTACCTTCTGAAATAAATATAGTTAGGCACATAGAAAAAGTAAAAATATTACCATATATAGTGAGTTAATTTCTCGGGTTCGCTTATTCTTATTTTTCTAAATCATTTGGCAGAGAAGTTAGGTAATCTCCCGTGTTTTATCAAGTAAATATCTCTTTGAACAATAATACTTATCCATGATCTTCTTCCAAATAGTAAGGTCCGGTTTTCAGACTTTCTGTACAACAATAACCCTGAAGTCTAAAACTTCTATTAGATTCCTCACCCAAACCAAACTTTTCATACAATGAGGTCAAATCAATACGTAAGACCAGCTTAAATGAATCAGTCTCTCATCTGTAGTTCTCCAAAATGAAAGCAGAAAAACTTGAGAGCTATTATAATTATTACCCCAAATTGCTATTGCATTAAAAGTATTAGAAACTGGAACAGGATCGAAAAAAAAAAAAATTATAAGATATAAGAAAGTTAAACTAAAGCATACATTAGCCAAGTCTTTAATCTGTACAACGATGATTGTGATATCATCTGTACGGTTTTCATGCTCCAACCATAACTTGTATGACTCTCCAACAACTGCACCACATGCATCCCGTGGATCTGGATATCTTGCCACCTATAAGATTAGTGCAAGGGGCAGCAATCTTAATACAATTTATAATCACAAAAGAAACAATTATTTATTTAGATCAACAACAGAACCTAAATTTGATCAACGAAGCAAACTTCTAGGAGTATCTATGCCTCACATGCTCCCATGAAGCAAGTCCAGATCGACTTAATAAAGGGATAAATGCATTTAAAGGTTCCAACCTTTTCCATTTTATTCAATTAGATGTCAAATCTTCTATTTCAAGAAAAAAGGTGAAAAATCTTTTTCAGTTTAATTCAATTAGATGTTCAATTAGGTGCCCAACCTTTAATTTTGAGCAATTAGATGAACAACGTTTCTAATTGTGTTTAACTCAATGTTCAATATTTATGATTGTATCTAATTGATTGTCTATACCAGTTACTGATAACAAATTCGGTGCCACATCCCATGCCACAATATTTACAAAAACTATATAAGTATATTAGAAAATGCTAAAACACTTAACTGGTGAAATGAACAAAAAGTACCATAAGATTAAACCAACCAAAAATTACAGCTCCTCCCTATCACTTTCATCATTCTGCATTTTCTTTTTATGGAAAAGTCGAAGTGATGACAGACACGATCATAATGACTATATTTTTTTTTATTTTTTCAATCTTAAGATAATTATATTACTTTCATTGGTGCTTTTTTACATATTTTTCAACATGTCATGACTTTTGAAATTGACGTGGCATGTCAAGTTGCAGCAGATTTAATATCATTAATTGGTCGAGATCCTCAATTAAATTCAATCATAATAGTGGGCATCCAATTAAACACAAACAAAAATGTTAGACACCTATAATTAACCAAATTAAAAGGTTGGCAAGTTAATTGAACAAAATGAGACAGAATTTCTATTCACTCAAATCAATGAGAAAGGGTAAGTACCTAATTTAACCTTTAAAAGCGCATAGTCAAGAGCAAAAGTTCAAGAAACAACAGAAACAATAGCAAGTTCTCAATAGCCTGTGCAGTGGCTGGTTGCAATCTCACGTAATAGCATGCAACAACAATGGAAGGATAAAAAACCACAGGGTGACAACAGCATGGAGAACCATGACTGCCATCTTTTCATCAAAAGTGTTCCTGTCTCCTCTTCTTTATCATAAAAAAAAAGAACATTCTAAAGGATTAATATCAATCTGATGCATCTAATAGTTGTAGATTATGCAAGTGAAACAACTCATCTTTATTGTTTATGTTCTGAAACATATCTTTCACATGCAAGCAAGATACCAAACTTAGCAAAATCAAATGGGTGCAAGTCAAATAAAAACTAACAGATTTAACAGACAACTAATGGATGAATAATAATGAGGGCTGAGTTTTATAAGATTTGGACACAATGTATATCCCTCTTGTACCCAGTGAGATGGTCTGGTTACTAAATAATCAGTTATCCTAAAAATTTAAGCTTAGAGGAAAGAACCAACTTTAACTTTCAATTTAACAGTTTCACATTGTGAAACACAGTTAAGAACTCAAAACGTTTCAAGATTTCAATGCTCCACAGTGGTGAATTTAAGTGATTAAGTTACTCGGCACCGTGTAAATGATTTTCTCATCTAACATGTAGAGAACTGATAGAAGTATATCTAAAAGTAAATGTCATGTGCCAATTCCACTCCTCTGATGGAATTATAACTGAGTTAAATGCCGAATTAGTTTTTTTATTTGAAAAAAAAAAATTATTCACACAGCAAATAAATGCACAACAAGTGATGTGACATAATCTTAAGCAAGCAGTTGATTGGAATAAAACAACATGTGGCAGCATCATGGTTAGACTATAGTGAAGGGAAATGTTTAAATTTGACCATCTCGCTCCAAAAGTAAAATAAGATCGCCAATTAGATTAATAAGTGATTCACTAAGAAATGCTAAAAACATCTCATTATATACCAATGATACTTGCGGCTTCATATTTTTACATTTTAATGGACCTGCCCAACATTCTAAATGTACTACCAAATGCCATGCAAGGTAGACCCAAAAACTTGAACCTCCTAATCTTTAAAAGGAAAAAATCCAACCACCTAGGGGCATCTGAATTCACTGATATGCATCATCTTGAAAAAGGGAATCCATACTTACAAGTTCATTAATTGTAAGAAAAAAAAAGAATACTTGGATGCTGTTAGGTGTACAAACTATAGAGTTCTTTCAAAGTGAAATAGTAATCCCACATCAGCTACTAGCAGAGTTGCTCTTTTATAGACAACTTCTAAGATCAGCTGGCTGTGATAGAGACTGATTAAGGACAAAAAGGGTTTCAAAGAAAACTTAGAGAAGATCAGAGATCTCAGATCTCAGTATCGAAACCCAAACTCGTAATCTTATCCAACAATAACGATAGCAGACTGCATGTCCAACTAAGCTAGGATAGACTTTTATATGGCCACAAAATAAAATAACGAGAGGAAAAGAAAATTTAATAACAAAAAAGAACTTCTTAGTAGCAAATTAAGCTAGAAAATATAATGAGACCTATTTTGATAATATTTCTTGATGCTGTAATTCTTCCAGTTTAGTCTCTCCAATCTGCATGATCTGGTAACGTATTCTTTTGGGCATGAAATTTATCCTACCATGTATTCAGATACAAAGAATACGATAATTCAAGTACTGGAAACCCTGTATCTATACCATGTGCTCCGGTACTTTCACTATTCTATACATTGAATACAGGAACCACAATCTGGAGACAAAGTATTCAAGTTAGTTTTACTTATTCACAATCATGAAATTATGGGTATCCTGTAGAGCTGCCAATTGAATTCCATAAACTTTTTTGTAACCATGACTAAAAAGAAAGTCAGCTATTAAATCAAGTACTGAAATTGAAGCAATATTAAGATTTCAACGTACCATGTCAACAACAGCTTGGCTTGGAAGGAATTCAAAAACTCCATCACTTGCAACAACAAAGAACAAATGATTCGATGTGAGATTAAGAACCGTCACCTCTGGTTCAGCAGTGACACCAATATTCTCAGCCGTGCTATCTCCTACACTCCTTGTAAATGCAGTCCCGGGATACATCCCATTCTTCACCCACAACCTCGGAGGATCACTACCTTGACTCTCCTCATCTCCCCATGACTGAATATTAGGATCCTTTAGCCCTTCAACTTGATCTACACTCAAAACCCGTGCGCCGCAGAGCTTGACTCTTTCATACTCATCTTTCCTAAACGGTGTCTGATCATAAGACATGTCATGAGCAAGAATTCTATTCCCTTCCTTCAACGCAACAACAGCCCTTGAATCACCTACATTAGCAACATAAAGAACATCCCCAATACAATAACTGTAATCGCAGTCGTCCCACTCATGCTATCATCAATCTCACTCTTATGCAGCTCGTCATTTGTCCTTAAAAATGCGGAACTATAAGCTTTCACGGGGTCAGCAATTAAATTGGGATCATTTGATAATATGTCAACCAGCCTATCCTTAACGAAATTTGAACACTGTGCACCAAACTGACCATGCCCATCAAAAACACCGAAGAAATGAATATCTGGATTACCTTGAAGCTGTGTTTTGATGCAGAAACTATCTTGATTTTCCTTGTCTGGCGACTCAGGGTAGTAACCACGATGTGATAAAACAGAGTACTCTAGCCTGAAGTCACGTGAAGGAACAGAAAGAGTCTCTAGCATTCTCTGAGTGATTAGGTATTTACCTCTCGCACTACTATAGGGACCAGCTTCTTCGTTCCCGCTGGAATAACCATCCGATGATGATGGGTAGCGACTGCAACACTTTCCATGAACACAACCCATGTCGCAGAAAAGGGAAAATGAGCAAAAATGCAAGTGGTTAATTGCAGGCCAGGCGTTTGATAAAAGCTCTAACAGGAAAACTCAAAACAATCAGCACCAGAAGCTTCGCGGAATGGAGAGAATGGAGAAATAGGTACGTGTTAAATCCAACATTGCGGCCATTGAACTCGTAGCTGTTCGCAACAAATGGGTTTCAGAAGCAGAAATTTAGAACCTCAGAACAGACAAAAGGGATGAAGATTAACAAAATCCAGAAAGCAAAAGAAGTCCAGCGCCTGTTTATATAGAGAATTAAGGTTCTGAGATGAAGAGAATCATCGTGTGGGTTTCACTTTCGCTCGAGAGAGAAAGGGAGAAAGAGAGGAAGGTATTCCATGAGAAATTCCGGAAGATAGGAATAATCCACGAAGAAGAAAGAAAGAGAGACAGATGGAAAGAAAGAAAGTAAACTCCAAATCAGACGCCCAAAAGAAAAATCAGGACATTTATGATCTGATCAAGGAAACTCAGAAAGAGAAAGCGTGTGTTTTCGGGATGTTCCCGGAGGAACGTGAGAACTTTTTCGGGTAGGAGACAGGATAATCAGAGGAGTGAAGAAGAAAGCGAGAATGGGAAAAGATTGAAGAAAAGGGAAAAGAAAACCCTAAAACAAAACAGGGAAATGGGGTTTAGGGAGAGAGATTCGATGAGTGCATGGGTGGGTTTGTGTGTGCAGAGAAGAAAAGCTCATGTTCCAAGAAAAACAGACGTATGACACAACACACAGTAAAGTGACTTCGCCATTTTTCTTTAACCAAGCCCAAACTCTTTTTCTCCATCTTTCCCTTTCATTTCATGCTGGCCTTAATTTTTAAAATTATTTTTATATTTCATTATTAATTCTTCAAAAACCGAAAGTAGTTAAAAAAAATTATGATAAATTAGAGATAGTGTAATAATCAAATTAGCTCGTATCAGTAGATTTAATTACACGAATTCATATAAATATTTATATAAAAATTAATTATTTTGAATATTCGCCAACAAAGTTTGTAAATTTTACTGAGAGTAAATCAATTATTTTTATTTATAATAATAATAATACTAAGTTGAGTGAATTAAATTTTTTTTTATTAAAAATAAACTTAAATTTGAAAAAAAAAGAAATGATTATACAATTATTTAACAATGATTATGGATATGGGTCATTATTTTTATATGGTTATCAAATATTTTACAACTTTTCTTTACCCATTAAAATTCATAGAATAATTAGCTACACATGATTATTATTTTAATAAAATTTTAGAAAAAAAAAAAAAGATGAGAGTTGGTACCTTTTTTTTTTTTTGAGATTCCCCTAGCATAACCTTCTCTATGCTATGCTACGGATTGCATTATCAATGTGCAAAACTTTATTCTAATTTACTAAGGTAAATAAATATGTGGTTTAATTTATTTGAAATTCTATATAAAAATTTAGTTGAAGGTTCCCGTAGCCACCAGAGACTCTGAGACTGTTGACCCTAACGACTACTCACACGCACTGACCGGGGGTCCCTGGGTTATCTACAGACATTACTTGATGGTGCAACCATGGACAGCTTCCTTTTCAGTCGATGATGACCGAATCATGTCGGTGGTTGCCTGGGTCCAATTTTTGGGGCTACCCATCCAATACTATCACAAAGGGGTGTTTAGAGCCATTGCCAAGACAATCGGTACGGTGGTGAGGATTAATTATAACACGGAGTCGTTGGAACATGGAAAGTTTGTGCGTTTGGCTGTCTCGGTGGACCTCACCAAGCCCCTAGTTTCTAAAATATGGGTTGAGGGGCATTTTCAGCGGGTGGAATATGAAGGACTACCAACGATATGTTTTAAGTGCAGTTGCTACGACCACCTCCGAGAACAATGCCCTATGAAGCCCACAGAAATCACGGTTGAAGAAGACAACCGAGGGGAAGGAAGTAATCAGACTATTCCGCCATAGTCGGGGGCACAAAGGGAAAAATTTGGGCCATGATGCAAGTGGTACAACGGGGACTGAAGAACGATAAAAAAAACGGTTCTATGAAGAAGAATGGTCCCGGATTTGCCTGCTCTAATGACTCAGTATCTTGTTTTGAGTTTATTACAAAGATAGGGAAAAAAAATGCAATCAATACAAAATTTTATGTGAAAATAGGTGAATTGTTCGTGGGGGGTGTTAATGCAAAATAACAGAGGAAAGGAAAGTTGAGTAGATCAGGTAGAAGGATTAGAAGATGAGGAACAGGGCATTAAGGGAGGCAATAAATTGGAAGGAAATAATGCTGAGGTGGGTCGTGTGGTTGACCGTGGACAGGGCTCCCAAAACATGCCCGTGGGCTCGGGCCAAGAAAGGATTGGGACGCTTGGGACTAAGCAGATTGAATATGGTTGGTCTAGTGGAGGAAACATGGGTCTTCTAATTAACCTCGACTCGCTAGCCTCGATCCATCAGGGTTGGACTCTTCTCGACCCGCTCAGACATTTGGTGATCCGGATTGACGATCAGGGTGAAAAGAACACCCATGCTAACTAGGCTAAAATCACATACCCATATGCCTTCCTATCAAACACTCGCACTTAAAGGATGGTCTGGACTCTTGGTCGGCGGCGTTCAAGCATTCGTGTGAGCAAAATCTCACGCCATGACCATAAGGTGAAGAAGCGGCGCAAGGAGTTCCTGGACGCGTTGACACTTTTGGCAGCCGAAATTCTGGGTTGTGCTCAAATGGACACTGCTGGTGACTCGACAGCGGTCGGTATGGAGTCCAGCCACGCTGCTGTTAACGGTTCGATACCTTGTTGGGTTAGGGTTTGTTCTTCCTTTTAACCTTTATTTTATGGATTTAA